CCACCACCAGCAGAAGTAAAGGTTCCTGTCTGTGGTTTGATAGTTATTTCTTGCCATTAATCACACTGGCAAGAAAAATATGACTCTATAAACATTAAACCTCTATTACTTGGTGCTTTCACTTGTGCAGGCATAGCAAAGTGTCACGATGACTTGAAAAGAAATAGTCAAAGAAATAGACAAAAGAATAGATAATTCTGGAAATATCAGATTTTTCAAATATTACATAAATGTATTCCCTGTAAATACTACTCCTGGTCCCAAATTTTCAAAACTTCTTTAACTAATTAAAAGGATTGTCATCATGCTGTTGAAGTATTCAGGTTGCTCTGAAGAAGGTAGATGTATTTTAGATGGCTCCAAACATAGAGCTATGATAGAAATAACTGGTAACTGATTTAGGGAGTGGTACGCTGTGAACTTGCGAGAAGGCTACTCACAAACAAAATTCAGGAGAAGAGTTTAGGAGCTGTATTGGCAAAGGGTCCTGAATTGGGTTTTACTCTCAGCTGACAGTGATTGCTTCGACTCCATTCAGCCCATCTTGAATACAACCGAAATTTTTTTTCTGGTTTACTAGATGCCTTACATGAAACGAGTTTGATCAGCTCAGTCCCATTTCCCAGGTGACAAATGGGCTGTGGCAAAAATTCCCCGTTTAGTGGGTGCTAAGTTTTGTTAGCAGGCTCATAGGAGAGGCCAAAGACTGTGGGAATGGGGAGAGAGAGCTGTAGTAAATTGGCAGGGCAGGGCACGAGGAGGAAGCACGTCCGAACGCAGGGCTTGTGTAACAGTCTTTCCATTGACCAAGAATTTGGTTGCTAGGTTGCCAGTCCCCTTTTACAAGCAGCAGAGTCATGCTATTGTTTCCTAAATGGTTTCAATTTTATGCAGGGATCTCTTTACATCCTCTCTATATCATTTAAATATTTTACTAGGCACGTAGTAAAGCGAGGTTTGGAACTCAGACCCCTGCTCCGCTCAAGCCAGCGAGCAAAAGAAAGCCCTTCTCTTTTATTCTGCCAGAAAGTGAGTATTTCAGGGTACCCCTGCAAAGAGTGGCCTCACGTCAGCCTTCCAGCTTGGTGACTACAAGCACTCCTGAGGGAGAAGCATGGTCTTGGGGAATTAGTATTTCCCAGGTAGAAATGCAGACCCCACATCTTAAGTAAGTGCAGTAATCACTAAGTAGTAGAGAGGAGAGGAAGGAGAATGGGCAAAGCTATGTGGGACAGCAGTGCTCCATGGCACTTCAGCTCCTCCATGGACATACTCAACATCTGAGGTCATCAGCCTTTAGATTTTGGCACCTCCAGTAAGCATAAATGAGGCTTAGATACAGTTCAACTTTACAGTTCCTCTATCAGCCGGGACAGCTGAAGGAGTTTACTGAGTCCTGTGTCCAGTTCTGGTCCCCACAATTCAATAAAGATGCAGACAGGCTGGAGAAGGGTCAAAGGAAAGCTATGAAGGTGTTCAAAGGGCTTGAGAACCTGCCCCATGAGGAAAGACTGAAGGAGTTAGGTCTTTTGTCTCTGGAGAAGGCTTGGGGTAACCTCATCTCAATATTTCAGTACTTAAAGGGTGGGTACAAAGAAGACAGAGGCTCTCTCTTCATTAGGAGCCACACAGAGAAGAAAAGGGGCAATGGGTACAAGTTGCACCAGGAGAGGTTTCATCTCGACATAAGAAAGTAATTTTTGCAATGGGGGCAATCAATGGCCACCACACTGTCCCCATGGATGTGGGACAGTCCCCATCACTGACAGTTTTCAAGGACAAAGTGCTGGATCATCTCATTTAGGCTTCCTTGCCCACAGCAGGTTGGACCAGGTGATCTTCTGAGGTCCCTTCAAACCTGAGCTGTGCTGTGGTTCTGTGAGCTTGAATGACAGTGAATCTCTAGGCAGGCTTTGCTCCTGGAGAAGACGAGTGTGGAAAAACACCTCTCAACCTATCCTATCTTCTTGCCTTGAGAGTAAATTTTTAAGAAATAAAAGCAACCTCTTCACTAATCTGTCTTCATTGCTCCTACTTTTAGAGAACCAAGTACTTGGGGCACTTTTTTAACAGAAAAGTCTGCTTATTTTCAAGAACCACAATGCAAACAGTATCAATAGAAAGTTATCTTGAAGTTTTCTGTAGGGAAATTTATGTAATGAAAAAACAATCAAAGTCAATGTATGTATTTTCTACATTCTGCATCTTGACTTTAAAGAGCTTCTCTGACTAATTGCAGTCTTCTGGACTTAGGCAAATAAGTTTCATTGTGTTACAAGCTGTTGCAATATGCATTCTTCTCATGCCTGAAGAGTCCCTCATCAGAGCACCCACAAAACAAAAAAAAAAGGACTTGGGAGATGGCTTCCCTGTGCCAAAAGCCACGTTTCTTCTACCAGAACAGCTAACAGCTTTGATCTGGGATTTATATACAACTTTACTTCAAATTTGCAATCTCTTCCTTGTGTTTGTCTCCTAGCTTATGATTTAGGCTAAACAGCAACGTGTTTTGAGACAAGGGTGGCATCCACCATAGATGTCCATCAGTAGAAAAGGCTTGCCAGCATGGTGTCCCCTTCTTAGCAAGGACCCCTGCTTTGTGCCTCTTCTATCTCTTTCCAGGCACCTGTGTTGAAGTAGCCCAAGTTCCTCCACAGGATTACTCTGACTTGCCATCTGAAAATGGTCTGTATCCTGCAGTTTAACATAGCAATAGTTCTTCACTATACGTTGAAAGCAAACATCTCCACAAGAGCTCTCTTCTAGTTGTTTCAGTGGAAAATGAGTCATCTGGAGGAAACATGAAATCACAAGTTACACAGGCCTGCTGCTTCAGCTCCTTCTCTCTACATTTATCCTCAGGAGTTTCAGAGAGACTAACTGGAGTTTGCAAATCCCCAGGCTGATGAGAGGTTAGGATGCTGACCAGTCCCCTCTCTGACCTAGTCTAGCTGTGCTCCAGAATATTCCTGTGCTGGGGATTGCTGCTGACCACATAAAAAGCAAATTTCTCTCCAGTTTATTATTAGCATGAGGCCTCTTTTTTGGTCCAATGCTTCCTAGCAACCTGAGTGTCTGTTAGTTTGCTTTTCACAAACTGTTATCATAAGTCCATGGAAACAGAGTACTTTGTGAATCAGCCGATACCCTTGAAAAGATAATGATAGGAGCAGTGGCCAAGGCCAGAAAAGGCAGAAGGCACCTTGCCACACTAACACGATCCAGATCCTGCGGAGCATGGGGTGCCCAGGAAGGGGGATGTGAGCAGGGAGCTGCTCATGCCCTGGAGATGGTGCCATCCAACCTGCTCCCAGGCTGGGTACCCTCCCCATGGGCTGCAGCCAGGGGTCTTCAGGGCTGACAGCCCTCCCTGGCCCCTGGAGCCAAGCATGTCACTGTTTCCTTTTAAAGACAAAGCCTTGAATAAGGGTTTCCTTCAAAGCTCTGAGTTCTGGGCATCTCCTCCTTTCCTGCTTGGAGTGTTGGTTCATCCCTTCACCATCACCCACTCCCCCAAATCAGCTCCATCTGGCTCTCGGGAGAGCCTAACCTGCAGCTTCCAGAAACCCTTCTGAGCTGGGAAGTTACCAGCTGTCCCAGGGGCTTTCCTGCTATAGTTCCCCTAAAGTGAGGCACACAGTGAGACACCAAATTCATTCATTGAAGTAGGATGCAGGTATGGCCCTGAAACTGTCTCTCTCTAAACAGGCTTAAGACAACACATCTTAAAATGGTGATGTTTATAATTCCTGTGCTATTCTGTTAGACTTTTTAAAAGCATTGGCCTCATGGTAATGAAGACACTAAGATAATTCATATATGGGGATATAAAAAATGAAATATTCTCAAACCTGTCTAAAACTTGCATCAAATAACTTTTTCCTTCCTGTACTGGGAGTGGTATATTCCCAGAATGTGATGTAGTGACATGTACGGGCTCTCTTGGCACTCTTTGGGACTAACCCACATAATTCACTTGTAGTTTTGACATCCCTAAGTGATGCACCTTTCCCACGCTCATGCTGAACAAACATTAACACCATTCCAGCCTGTAATTTGTATCTTGCAGACACGCACAAGACTTTTACTTAAGGTTACAAAATGTACAGAGCAAGCCCCTATAACCAGCTGTTCATAAGCGGGCTATTTCTCAACTGGGTGGCATGATCTTTGCCCCATTTTTCAGTTTATTTTCATGTTATTCTGTTTATTTAAAAAAAATAATAATAATTAAAGGGTCTTTGCCATTTCCTGAAATTATTTCCTTGCTCATTTTGAAAGCAGGTGGTTTTGTAGAGCTGTGATGGTACTGGGTAAAGACTTAAGATTTCCTACAGGGATAATACAGAGTGCCCTTACGAACACTGTGGAAAAGCATAAAATATTGGTCAATAAATCCTAAACAGTCATTGCTTACAAAAGGACAGGATTTGTAAGAAATTTTTCCTAAAATATCTGAACCTTTCCATAGCCTTTATTTTGCTTCAAAATCTCACATAGGTTGAGTGTTGGAAGAGAATAATTGGTGCCTGTAGCCTGCTGCCCCCCATCCCTTTGGGCTTGTGGGAGAGATGGGAAAATTTGGGAGCTCCTTTGTGTCCCCTGTTAATTTGGCCTGCTTGTGCTGCTTGTTCTACTCATCTCCTTACCCCAGTCAGCAAACCACAGGGGCAGTGAATAAGATGAGGTATATGAAGAGTAACGTTGTTCCCTGGCTATGGTTGTCACCCAGATAACAAGTCATAGCATTCAAATGTAATGACAGGCAGGAATAGAATAATTAATGCCTACAAGAAATGCATTTGGATTGTACAGGTCATGTTTATGATACCTATTTTTATATTATTATATTATAAGTTTTTATATTTGCATTGGCAGCCTGGCACTCTAATTTATTTTATTTGTGTGTGCATACTCCGTACATGTCAAATGCCCCTATTTTCCCTCTTTTCCCTGTTGGTCAATAGGTTGGCTTATGGTACTGATTTGCAATGTTTCAGGCAAGGGAGGATGTGATCCACATGCTGAAGACAGAGAAAACCAAACCTGAAGTTTTAGAAGCTCATTATGGCTCTGCAGCCCCAGAGAACGTGCTCCGAGTGCTACACAGGGATGCCATCCTCGCCCAGGAAAAGTCCATAGGGGAAGACGTCTACGAGAAACCAATTTCAGAGGTAATAACTCCTTGATTTACATCATTACATCTGTGCAGGGGGAATCAAGACCAGAAGTAAAACTCCACGTACTTTGCCTATGTGCAAAGCATGCAAGAGGATAACACAACATCTGTACAAATGACAAGAAGTTGAAGAAAAATGGAATATTCTTGTTCCCTCAACCACAGAATAACTTGTAAGCAAGATCACTGGGTTTAAGCACAAACAATAAAGAGCTTGTGTGCTCCTTAGGGCTAATGGTCTGAAGTGAGAACAAAATCTGTGGCTGTTACATTTCTGTTTGTTAAATTCCTTTCAATTATAGACTCCAACTTCTACTGCTCAAAACATTGGTATTCTTTGATTTTTTTGGCATACTAGAGCCATACTCATGTGGGTAGTTAGAGAAAGAAGACCTTCAGAGGTTGACTTTGGCCATATTTATGGGATCATAAATCCATAATCATTTTATGTCACTAAAGCTCCAGGACTGCAAAGCCAGTTCAGCCCCTAAAGGAGATCTCTAGGACTTGATCCCTTGCTTTAAAATCTAAGCAATAAATGAATCTAGAACAGACCTGGGAATGTCTGAGGGCAGCATGAACACCAAAATAAGCAGCCATTTCTTATGTTTATAGTTTCACAATAGTCTAGGGCATGCAGAAAGAGCATGCAACAACGTACACTATAATACACTGTAGTGCCTGTCCAAATGTTCATAATTCCTCCTATCAGAATACTTAGTATTTTACCAGGAATTGTGTCTACCGTGGGATATCTTTATACTGTGTATTCTCTTTGAAGCATCTCCTGGAATTTTAGGGATGACGGTAAATAAGGAAAGCGAACGTTAGCATTTGGGAGCAGGCGTGACATACTGTCAACCAAGATTAAAAGAGCTTAGCAGGGCTTTTGCCTAAAGAAGTAAAGTGTTGCTAATAAAGCAAGAGAGAAACTTCTGTCAAAACAGCAAGCTGAGGAGAAAACCCTAAGACTTACAATCAATTGTGTTTGGTAGTGTAAAACTGAATCTATGCTGAGTCTCAATAGTTTAGACTTTTTATCTCAGCAGTCCTACAGGCGCGTTGAAGACGCATAACTCAAATTTCAGCCTCAGGCTTACACCCTATGCCTCATGTGTCGGTGTCCCCATGTGGGTGTGTGAGCGCAGGCTCCCAGGGTCTGAGGGCAGGTGTCCTGCCCTGGCATTTCCTACAGCTTTTTCCCTATGAAACGAGGAAAACGTGCACAGCACCCCTGCCACAGGGGACATTCCACACTACAACAATATTATTTGTTACCCTAAAACTGTCCTTTGTGTGTCTGAGAGCTGTGCAAATGTTAATTGCAAACACGGCATCCAAAGAACTCGTTACTTTTACGGGACAGTTACTCTTATTTCTAGTCACTGCTTTGTGGAAAGCCCAAGACATAAAATTATGGGACTCACATTTACCAAATGCAACGCTGTTGGTTAATAAATCAGATGAAGTAAGCAAAGAGACCTTTAAAACAGCCTGTTCTCCTTTCCTACAATCCAGCTGGACAGACTTGAAGAAAAGCAGAAAGAGACGTATCGGCGCATGCTGGAACAGCTCCTGTTGGCTGAAAAGTGCCATCGCCGCACGGTTTATGAGCTGGAAAATGAGAAACACAAACATACGGATTACATGAACAAGAGCGATGACTTTACCAACCTCTTGGAACAGGAGCGGGAGAGGTGAGTACCTGAGATGGTGCAAAGAGCATCTCCAGTGTCCCAGCGCTTGTCGAGCCAGCAGTGACATGGTCTGGGATTTTCTGTGTCTAAATGACACTAAACTCATGTGTAAACCATTTGTAAATGTCAGTCCACTCACACCATTAGTAAGTACATTACTGTGCAAGCCTAGGGCTGGAGGAATACCATTGAATGTTCCTGTAGTGTGAGCTTGCATTAAGAAACAAATTTGTTTTGAATTACTCATGCCTGCTTTGGCTTCACCTCCTGGTAGCTTTTGATCAGATGTTATTTATGTTGGCTAAGTTTGGTGCTGGCTTGCTTGATGTTTTGGGAAGGATGGGGCACTGTTTGTCACAGCAGGAGGACAGGGTAAGGAAAACCACAACACACATTGGGATACTGGCACACTAACGTAGCAACTTTGCCATGACCTTTGCATTTAGACTTGCAAAGTCACAAACCATTTACATTATTTTTCATATTTCTGAAGACGCGTGCCTTAGGCAAGGTCTACATTCTCCTGGAAGAAAATATTTTCATGGTTTATAAAACATGCCCAGCCTGCCATGGACTATCTGCAGAGTTTATCTCACAGTCTCATATGCTCCAGGTTTTTCTTCAAGTGTTTGTCCTCTCTGGGGGAGTAATTTGGCCTCAGAGCCTCTCAGAAAAGAAAGAGTACCTGCCTTAGGTGAAGAATGAGCACTGGTAACAGCCTCAGTTTTTCAAGATGAAATTTTCATGCTCATACCAAACTGCTTGAAACCAATCCACAAAGTGGTGGTTTCTTTAAAAAAAGAAAGCTCCGAGAAAAATATTTAAGGCAAGTTCAAAGAAGAAATGCTTTTGAGGAAACCACAGTCTTGTGGCAGGCATTTGCAAAGAGCCAGGAGCTAAATTGTTTTGTGCATTTCCTGAGCTCAGTTCAGCGCCAGCTTTGAGTAGGTGGCACACGAGCTACAGTGACCGTATTTCCTGGCTCAGTAGCTCCTGTTTTTCTGTCTCTCTATTTTCCTGGGTTGATTGGCAAACTTTTAAGGACAAAAGTGCTTCTGCATCTTCGCAATCTGATTCTCTTAGCAGAAAATCTTAAAAAAATGTTGTATTTCCAAGTAAGGAGCGGTTTCACATCTGATTCTCATAGAAGCCATTTTTTTCCTCCCTGCTGAATATCTGTGTCTCTGTGGACACGCAGGCAACTAAAGTGCTACGAAAGTAAAAGTGGCACTAAAATACCATTTACATTTGTCTTTCCATTTTATATTCACTTTAATTTGGCAATTGTTGCCGCCTTATTATTCCAATTCATGAAGGCCACTAAATAGCCTAAGCTTATGACCGGTTTTGAGCTGACTTCCTTCAATGAATTCACTACAAACTTTCTGTCTCATGTTACTTCTGCTGAGATATCACGTCCCATCTCTGGGGGCATTTTCTCACACCCTTCCTGCTCTTTTGTGTCTTTTCAACTTCCGTTTTTCTAAATTCTACAATTTTTGGAAAAACAGCAATAAGAAAAAGGAGAGCTGGAGAGTCTGAGTTTGAACTTCTATTGAAAGCAGATCTTTAAGAGCAACCGACTACCATTGCAGCACTGAAGCCCTTTTGATTTATGTTGAGTGACACGAGAAACCTGATGTTTGCCATTTACTCCACGTTGTTTGTCTACAGCACTAATGAGAAAATTTGTTTCCAGACCAAGCAGAGAGAAAGAACATGGCATGAAGCTAAACATAGAAAACCAAGCGTGCACATCCCTCCCTCTTCAGGGACCTCCTCCCAGATCACTTGCACAGCAGATCAGCAAAATTCGGATGGGCTGGAAACCACTCATTAGTCTGTAGTCTTAAATGATGTCAACTCCTCATCTTTGTCTGTTGAGGCTGTACCCACATCTTTGTAGGTATTAAAAGCTGGAAGTAGTACAGTTTGAGGGCTATATTCACTGAGAAAGAGAGGGTGATACGATGGCTCCTCAGGAAAGACTCACAGTGGAAATCAGCAATAGATTTCTGTCAAAAAGAAAGTTTGCAGTGACAAGATTAAGTTGTAATACGTTAAAACATAAAAAAAAATCCCATACTCACTTTATCTGTACATTGGGACAGAAAACTGACCTACCCAAAGGCATTCATCAGGGTCCTGCCTAGGCATTCTTGTTTTATAAGTACCACTATGTATATAATTTGTTTTACTGTGGTGCTTTGAGGCCTGAGGGTTATTTTATTAAGAGCAGAACAGACTTGTAGTCTCCATGAAAAAGAAAAGGGACAGGGAGGTGAACTTTTCCTGCCAGGCCTTCTGCTGCACTCCGTTATAACATTAATGAGACAGGGTGAGCTGGAGGAAGAACAGTCCTGCGGGACAGCCATCGTCTGGTGCAATGACAGCAGGAGTCATTTCTGTCCTGGATCTAAGTCACAGAATGAATGTACTGGGTTGGGAGGGACCTTTAAAGACCATCTAGTCCATTTAACATCACTGAAGTAATTTCTTTCCTCGTAGTATTTTACCAGTCTTTCCTAACCATTCTTATCCACACCAACTTCCAGAGGCCACATCTGCTTTTGTTGTCCCATGGAAGTTTGAAAAAGATAAAAAGGGAAATTCTTTAAGAGCAGAAGTATGGCTTGGTTCTAATGTATTTCTTGCACTCTCTTAATGTATTTACTTTGGAATATTTTTTCACATGCACTTTCATACATTATCTCTAATCCATCCACAACAACATGATAAGAAAGCAAACAGTCCCGATGAGGGACTAGTTATTAGGTCAGCCTTGCACAGGAAGGAAGGAACAAGAAAACAGGATTTGTCAGGAATAATTATGCATGAAAAGTATAAAAAAGGGACAATTGTACACAGGGATATTAAAAATGTAGACAGCTAGGAGGGTAAATGGAGAAAGCTGGAGGGCCTGACTGTTGGTGTTGGCTCCACAACACCAAGCACAGCTAAGCTGCAGAAAGGTTGTGGAAAAGGTCGGTGTGTTACAGGAAAAGAGTAGTGACAACTGTTTGCTGGATGGAGATGGGAGAAATCTGGTGCTTTTAATGGAAGATGCTTCTACTGATATAGGGGCTGAAGTGTTTTGCAAATGTCCCTATAGTATGCCATAATCATATCTAAAGATGGGAATGTTTTGAAAGTTAGAGACAGTATTTTCTGTTTCAGCATTCGACCAAAATTGCCCTTGACCATGCTTGCCCAGCTCAGCCACTGCTCCCGTACCATCAAGCTGTCCTTGGGCATCTCCTGGCCCTGTGGGTGCAAAAGCACCCATCTTCCTCCTGAGGAGGTGGAAAATCTCTTTAGGGAACTGTAGGGGGGGAGGGGGGGGGAGAAAAAAATAAATAAACCTTTAGGATCAAGCATAAACTTTTTTATTTGATCAGCAGGGCTCTTTCTTCTGGTGGAAAAGAGCTGGAAAAGAGCAAGCTGGAGCATAGGAGGTTCCATGTGAACATGAGGGAAAACTTTTTCCCTGTGAGGT